GATTAATCCGCACAAAGCAACTGGCCCAGACAACATCCCCGGAAAAGTGTTGAAGGAATGTGCTGATCAGCTCTGTGAGGTGCTGGCAGACATCTTTAACACCTCACTTACCCTGGAGACAGTTCCCACCTGCCTGAAGACTGCCACCATCATCCCAGTCCCAAAAAGCTCTACAGTGACTGGTCTGAATGACTATCGGCCAGTGGCCCTCACCCCGATAGTCGCTAAATGCTTCGAAAAACTGGTCATGACTCACATCAAAACAACCATCAACATCAACGAGGACCCTCATCAGTACGCATACCGTGAGAACCGATCAACAGAGGATGCCATCTCCTCTGTGGTCCACACTGCACTCAACCACCTGGAGCAGAAAAACTCTTACATCCGAATGCTCTTTGTGGACTTCACATCCACCTTCAACACCATGATCCCCCAAACCCTGATGGACAAACTATCCACACTAGGACTAAGCCCCTCCATTTGCAACTGGGTACTAGACTTCTTAACAAACAGACCACAGACAGTGAGGATCCACAACTTCTCCTCCTCCACCATAACCCTCAGCACTGGCTCTCCTCAGGGATGTGTGTTGAGCCCCCTCCTGTTTACTCTGCTCACATATGATTGTGCAGCTACCCATCCAGGCTGTCACATTGTAAAGTTTGCAGATGATACAGCGGTGGTGGGATGCATCACAAACAATGATGAGTCCAGCTACAGGCAGGAGGTGGAACACCTGGAGAGCTGGTGCAGAGAGAATAACCTTCACATCAATGTGAAGAAGACAAAGGAGATCTGCTCACAGACTCATGTTCATGTTTGTGCTGATGTTCAATGTTTTATGTTATGAGTGCTTAGTGTATATTTAGTTGATGTTTTTCTTAGTTCATATCTTAGATGTTATTACTGTTTTTCTTATACATTTTATTGTTGGATGTAACTGGGACCCTGTGTACATAATTTCGCTCCACCACATGTACCACATGAGGTGCGAATGACAATAAAGAAACTCTGACTCTCTGATTATAACTGTTATTTATTATTACTTATTTATAACTTGTTTATTATATCTGTTTTTTATTATAACTTATTTATTATATCTTATTTATTATAACTGCTGTTATTTATTATAACTTACTTATAACTTGTTTATTATATCTGTTTTTATTATAACATTTATTGTATCTTATTTATTATAACATTTATTATATCTTATTTATTATAACTGTTGTTATTTAATATAACTGTTATTTATAACTGTTATTTAATATAACAGTTATTTAATATAACTGTTATTTAATATACTGTTTTTTAAACTGTTATTTAATATAACTGTTATTTATAACAGTTATTTAATACAACAGTTATTTAATATAACTGTTATTTATAACTGT